AATTAATATACACTTCACGAATTGTGTATTGTGTAATGATGGTGGCCGAAATTATTTTAGCAAATCCGAAATCGTTTCGCTCACAGAAATTAGGAATTTAGGCATCTAAACTAGCAACGAAACTTAAAATTGCCTAAACTGTGGTTAAATTGTCAAACCTACGAGCAAAGTTTTATTATTATGTTGTGATAAAACGGATTTATCGAAGTGTCGTCCAATCATATATCGGACATGTGACCATATAATATATCATTTTTATTTGAATACTTGGAACATCATTCATTATTCTTTTCTTTACTGAAAAATTTTTTTTTAGCAAATAATTAATTGATTTCTTTCAATTAAATAAAACATTTTTTGTGGTGAAGAGCCAAAACCAAGAAAGACATAATAATAAGAAAATTTTTTGGTCTGAAGATTTCCGATAAAAATTTCCCAAACCGGGCATTTTTGATTACACAATTCACACACCCTGCCTGATACTTATTGTTGTTGATTCTTTGTATAGAAAAATAGAAAATGCAACAACAAATGGAAAAAGAAGTTCAAGATACGACTATTTTAGAAAATTTAGAATTGATTACCTCGTTAGAAGAAAGTTTTCATGAAGAAGCAACAGCAGTAATACCAACAACCAAAAATTATAATCAAAATGATAATAGATTTAAATTAGACTTACAAACTATGTATTCACATTATAAATCTAGATCTAGATCTACTACTGCTAATACTATTACTACTCCTAATAGAAAACAATCCAGTAGTGCTAAATTATATATGCCTATAAGTAAAGAATCATATATGGCACGACTTAAAACTTTCACAATATCCTTTTCTTTTTTATTATTACAAATAAAACAATTTTAGGAAGGTTAAATATTTATTCTTTAACGCATTATATCAACCTTTATATACGAAATAAATTGGTTTGACAAACCAAAGTTATTAAGTCCTGTTGAATGTGCAAGATATGGATGGATTAATGTTGGCGAAGATTGGCTTGAATGTGAATATTGTGGAGAAAAAATGTTGGTAAAAATACCATTATATCCTGATTTAGGTAAGATGTTATTAACTTTAAAGAGAAATATCTACAAAAATAGATAAAATATAAATATTTTATTTTATTTGAATAAAAGAGAACCATTTGGAAAAACAATATTATGAAGCTCTTACTACAGCACATTCAACCTTTTGTCCATGGCGTGAAATACCATGTGAAGGTGTGTGTGAAAATTATTAATATTATTGTTATTTATAAAATTTAATATATATTAATTTAAAAGTTTTCTTAAAAAAATAGAATCTATTTATAAATTTCCTATTCTTTCAAGTGAAGAAACAATAAAAGAATTTCAAAAGAGAATAATAAATTTAATAAAACTTGGCGAAAAAATTCCAAAAATCAAGGCCAACATAGTAAGACTTGCATACATACATAGATAATCATAAATAAAGATAATCATAAATAAAGATATTTATATACAATGTACTTATATACGATATTAACTTACAAACTATAATTATAATAATTAGAATAAGAATGATGATGAGGAATTTATCAAATCCATGGATTTGATTATTCCAGCAGAAGCAAAAGGAATTGATAGCATGGTTTTGAAGTCAGCAATATATTTATCATTATTTGGATGGAAATATATTAGTAAATATGGAATTGATGAGTTGTTATGTGATGTGTGTTTTAGAGAATGTTCAGTAAATGATTATAAAAAAAGTACAAAACAACAACAACAACAAGAACAAGAACAAGAACAAGAACAACAGGAAGGAGATAAAGAAAATTCAAAAGAGCACCATTACAATAATGATGATGATGATGTAGCAGAAGAAATCCTTGCTTGCAAAAACGAAGAAGAAATTTGGGATCTGTTACAAATTAAAAATAATCAAGTATTTAATTGCGAAGGTGAACATTATTGGTATTGTTTATGGATTGCCAATGGTAAACAAAAATTAGTAAAAGAGGGAGGAGATAATAATGATCATGCAAAACAATTTGAATTTTTTCAACCAGGTTGGAGTACAACATTTTCAACTATTTTAGAATATATTAGATCAATCAACAACGACAACAACAACAGCAGCAACAACAACAACAGTGATAACCTTAGTGGCGATGATCATAATAATGTTGATAATGCTGATAATGTTGATAGTGCTGATAATGTTGACAATTTTGATAATGTTGACAATAATAATGTTGAAATTGGCAATAATTCTGATGTTATTGAGAATGATAATGAAAATATTGACACTGTTGATGATAATGTTGATAATAATGTTGATAATAATGTTGACGGTAATCTTAATGAGTAGAAACTAGATGAAAACCTCTTTTTTGCTTTTAATAGTTTTAATTAAGATAATTATGGAAAATAAGGAATTGTCATAAAATTTTTTTAATTAATTGTGAGATTTGGAGATTGATTAATTGATCAACTGATAAAGATTAACATTATTAAAATTTTATATGAAAAGAGGAAAAGGTTACGAGTAATGAAACATCAAATGCTGTCAACTGAATGTGGATAAGTCATTATTAATTATCATGCAATATAATAAATTTTGGTTACATTAGTGATTTCTGATCATGCGTGTATGCGTGTAATGGATAATATCGAGAATACCAAATAAAAGATGTAAATATTTACACACTATTTTATTGCAAAATAAAATTATTAATTAATTTTCTTCTTTTAATCTTTTAATGAATATTCTTATTTTTTGAGCCATTATTTATTATGTTATTTGTCATATATAGATTTTGCCAAATTCTCTCATATTAATATGGAAAAAATAAAAATAGTTTTGTCACCACAACCTTAATTTGTTGCAAATCGTTTTTTTTTTTGTCAAGGAAAAAAGTCTCCTTTCTCCTTTCTTATAAATACAAATCTAAATAAATTATAATGATACTTTGTCTTTTCTTTATGAACAAATACGTTGAACTTGAAACACAAACAAAAAGGACTGCACGCATGTATAACATGCATAATAAATAAATATTAATATATTTGCAAGAAAAAACAAAGATCTAAGTGAATTACTATGTTTTCTGTTTGCAAATTTTATCCTAGAATATTTAATATTTGCTTAACATATGAAAATTAATGTTTATTTACCCTCGAATAATTATAACGCTCTCTTGTTAAAGTTAATATTGGTGAACCGTGTTTATATGCAGGATTACATAGGACAAGTTACCCCGCATATTTGAATAATGCACGAGTTAACTTTATCCACAAAAATTAAAAAAATTTATTACTTTTTTAATCCTGAATAAATTAAATTTAGAAACTGGAATGACAATGACTCTTAATGATAATAATGGATTTGAAAGTTGTAATCCAAATCAAGAAAAGACAAAAATAAAATTTGTAATTTTTCTTTGTTATGTGAATTTCTTTCTATATTAGAAATAAAAATAATCCTATTCTCTTAATATGGTAAATAGTAATAATAATAATGTGATAAAATTTTAATTGGTCAGTATTAACTACCATTATATTATTTTTGAAATAGGGTCTGTTTATTTCTATCGGTTATGATGTTTTACAGCCGCAAAAAAAAAACCGACCATTGATTTGGTTTTATTTAATTAAATGATCAACATGGAAAAACTTTTAATCTTTTATATAAATATAATTCATGTAATTCATAACATGTTCATTAAATAAAATAAAAAAATTTAGATTTTAGCAATTTCTGCTATTTGCAAAAAGGAAAAAAATTTAGAATTTAACTTAAAAATAGAATCGTTTTAAAACCTACATTGATTCATACACACGTCCACCACATACACACACACATATCCATTCATTATTTAATCACAAAGAAAAAAATGGGAAAAAAATTTTGGAAACGATTTTTTACTAATTTTCATAGTAATTATAGCGAAGATGGTAATAGTATTGGACATAAAAAAACTAAAAGCGATATTAGTGATATGAGCGAGGATTCAATAGGCAAAGAAGCCAAAGAATTATTTAAGAAAATCAATGATCGAAAATTCATAAACCAAGATGATGCTAAAGAAATCTTGCCGGTAGATGATGACGAAACTGATAGAATAAATTTGGTGCATTTCTTCAAGAAAGAATTGTGGCCGCAAAGTAAAGCATCTTTTTCTTCTCCGGTTAAAGAAATATTAAAATCCGGTGCTGAAATACTTGATGCTGGGTAATTAATTATAAATCTTTTATTTTATCTATTTTTCAAATTATTCCTTTAAAATATATTTATGTTTGTCAATGTCAATTAAAAAAGTTGTGGTGGTGGAACTTGGGTATTGGAAATGTCAGGAATTTATCCAAACAGTAACTTCACCGGAATTGATATTGTGCCAATATTCCCATCACAAATCAAACCAATAAATTCAACATTTGTTACTGCTAATTTACTAGAAAAATTACCGTACGAGGACAATACGTTTGATTATATTCATTTTAGAAATATGATGTTTTCGTTGAGTGAAGACGAATACGAAATTGCTGTTATTGAATTGATTAGAGTATTGAAGCCTGGCGGTTGGATTGAAGTCGAAGAAAATTCTGGTGTTATGAATAATCTTGGTCCGACTGGCCAAAAACTAAAACAGATGAGTAAGTATTAAAAAATAATTTGATCGACGAAATTCGTAAAATTCGTAAAATTCGTAAAATTAATTTTTTTTTCTCGTCTGTCTGTAGGTGACGCCGCGTATTTCAAAACACATGGAATCAATGTATATATAACGGATCACATTCAACAATTTTTAGAAAATTCGCAGCAAATGTTGGACAACGCAATTTATTTGGATAAAGCAATTGTTCCGTATGGTTCGTGGGGCGGAAAATTAGGCGCAACTCAATTACAATTGTTTAAATGGTTTTGTACAAATGTTAAAACAAAATTATTGTCTATCGTGGATTTGACGGAACAAGAATATGATGATATGGTTGCTATTACCTGCAAAGAAATTCTTGATTCTGATAACGTTTATATAGACATTTGTAGATATTATTCTCAAAAAAAATACTGTTGATTATACGATTTACTTTTATATTTATTATATAAGTTTTTTTTGTAATTATTTTATATACAGTAAATATTGTAATTATTTTCCATTTTTTATATATATTACAGTAAATATATTTAGGATTACTTCTTTTTGTAAAATTTTGATTTATATATACATACATATATACACATATTAATATACATACGCACATACACATATATAAGATTTTTTTTTTTTTTAGAGAAGAAAAAGATTTAGAAATATTTAAATATATAATATAAAAATTGATAGAAAAAAATAAAATAAAAAAATTCCATCATTATTATCATTATTATTATCATCATCATCATTATTATTTATTATTATACAATTTATGAATAGTTTTTTTTTAATAAAGGCAATATCTTGCTTATATATAGAATTTTTATTAGAATAAAGTAAACATAATAATAATAATTCAAAAAATAAATTCCAAATTAACTTTATATGAGGCTATCCCTCTTGAAAATAATTATATATATGGGTCTGATTCATTTCGTCGACAATCATTTCGTCGACACCCATTTCTTCGAAAGTTTGTTTCGTCGAAAGTCCATTTCGTCGACAATCACTTCGTCGACAATCACTTCATCGACAATTATTTCGTCGACAATTATTTCGTCGAAAGTTCATTTCGTCGAAAATTATTTCGTCAACAGTTCATTTCTACAACAATTCATGTTAATTTGCATGTATTACCAATTATGCTTGGGAGAGCGTGAATTAATTGATGATAACAATTGTTTATTATATTTATGTGGAATAGGTTTACTAATTAATTTAATTAGTGGATAATTTTGGTTTTAAATGTTTATTTATTTTATTTAGTCGAAACTAATTAAAGATTTAGAGCTAT